TGCATGCCTTAGTAAATGTGTATGTTCATCTTACCTTAAAGCCTGTGGTTACCTAGGATGACTTGGCATCTGAAAAAACCTCCTTGAAACTCATACTGCATTCATTGTATTTTACTTCAACATAACTGAAAAGTGCAAGGTCTGAGGTGGTTTTCAAATTATGTCTAAACAGAAGTGGGGCAAATAAAGGTGAGAATCCTTGGCAAATTATTTGCATATCAATGTTATTACATCTTAACTTCAGAGAGAGTGGGTATTGCCAGTAAAGACAAATCTCTATCAATTTTGGTCTCTGTGTTCTTTTTCAATTGAGCTTTTGACCTCCAGAAGCAGCAAAGGGAAGCTGCCTGTGTGAGCAGGAGCAGATTTTATTATACTCAAGGTAAGTATTGTGGGGTTTGGGGAAGACTTGGAGAAAAAAATGCTATTGTATCAGTGGAGTCATAGCATGTACATATTTAATGCAAATGCAGCTATAGGTCTTTGGTGAAGACAGAAAAAAGTAAATGTGCTGGCAGGTTTGTTGGCCACTCAGTGAGCATTTATTCCAGCTTAGCTTGAATAGGGAGATAGGAATCTGCCATTCCTTATGGTCATTCTCCTTCCAGCAGTCTCACCACAGAAGCATCTCCATGCCCGGAGGTGATTCTGCTATTTAAAGTATTGTCCATGCAATGTAGGTTCTGTGAACTCAAGCCAACCCCTTCATCTGGTCAGCCAGTGAGGTAGTGATTTATTCCTGTAGTGGAGGAAAAACTGGCTGGGCTGAACCAAGTGGGACATAGCTTGCCCATCTCCATGACAGTCCCTTCCTGAGTGACTCAAGGTGATTTTATTTTTTTGTTTTGGTTTGGTTTTTTTTCCAGTACCGGGAATCGGATCCATGACCTCGCGCTTGCCAGGCAGGCGCTGCGCCGCTGAGCTAAATCCCCAGCCCCGCAAGGTGATTTTAATGTGCAATTTTTGCCTTGCTCTACTGAATGTAGAAAGCACCCTTCTCACCTAGCCTTCTCCATGATTGAAGTCCATTTAATTTCCAGGCAACTTTTGAGTATCTTCTGTGTGCCAGGGATCTTACCTAAATACAATGTTATGTGTCTGGCCTCCTTTGCGAAGATGCATATAGTGTTACACAATAACATTGTCAATTTACTGTCAAACCTTCTTTATAATCTGTTTTATTTTTAATAGTATTTCCCCTCTATTTTCTCTCATGGACAATAAAACCCCCAAGTTCAGTCATTTAAGGTAGAATCTACCTTCTCTAAATCCGCTCCTTCAACTGAAGTCTTGCATCACTGAGAAGGACTGGACAGTAACTGTTTAGTCAACAGCTGTATTTTTTACAGCAAGGACTGGCTTGGTGACCAGGTTTTTCTGATGTCTGCTGAGCCATTTTATAGATGGGGCCTGCTGCTTCTCTCAGCTGATCTCTGACCATCTCTGCCCCAGGACTCCAGCCTGTAACTCATCACAGTCTCTGAAGAGCATATTGCTTTTTCCCAATAGGAGCTTTTTATTTTTTTAACCACATTGGCCACAGTTGAATATGACCTCAAATTTAGGACAATCTTTGTTTCCAGAGTGGAGGAAATTTTTTAAATTACAAAAATGTAATTCATCATACAGAAACATTCTGTCTCTTGACCCCTGAGAAATGACTCGGCTGCTGTCTCCCTTAAGTTTTTCACTGCTGAAGCTGGAATTAGATGACTAGAATTAAAAATTCAAGTGCTCTTTTAGCAACCCTCTTTCTTCCAGCTCTTTTACAGCTTACAGTGTGACTTACCAGTCCAAAATGAGGGGCTGTGGGACCCTGACCATCTTTTCCTCCTACATGACTTTTCATCTTATTTGAAATGAAACAGCAGCCCCAGCTATCTGTTCATTCTTTCTCCCCATCCCTCTAGATAAATTTACCCCCATCTTTTTTTTTGTTTGTTTGAGACAGGGTCTTGCTGTGTAGTTCAGGCCAGCCTTGAACTCACTATATAGCCCAGGCTGGCCCTGAACTCATGGACATCCTCCTGCCTCAACCTTGCAAGTGCTGGGATTACAGGTGTGCAACCACCATGGCTGGTTCAGTTGTTTCTTTCTTGAAAAATACCTACTGAACTACTTTAAGTTATAGATTTGTTCCTCCTCACTGTCTTTATTGCCTTGTTTCAAGGTTCAGATAATTTCCTTACACTTTAGTGTCACTTGGGTGATTTGCTGATCTCAGAATTCAGAGTCTTCAAACAAAATTTGGTTCATGCCTTTAAAAAGTCATACTGAAGTTTCCAGGTTTACTTGGTTCTCAAAAGCTCCCCACATTCAGGAAAAACAAAAGATACCAAGCCAGGACATTTGTTCTGGTGAAGAGGAGGAGAAGTGAGGCTAGACACATGAAGACAAACAGCCTTATGTCTGGTCACTGTGTAGGGACCAATGAAGCACCCTAAGAGAAGCTACTTAGCACCAAAGAGCTACATAAGTGAGTAAGTGAAGATTATTTGTTTATTTGTTTGTTCGAGACGGTCTCACTATGTAGGGCAGGCTGGCCTTGACCTCATGGTGATACTCCTGCCTCAGCCTCTCAAGTGCTAGGATTACAGGCATGTGCCACCACGCCCAGCAGTAACTGAAGATTATATCAAGAATTTGATTCTTATCTCCCTCAGGAGCCTTCCAGGTGGCCCTGGGGAGAAATGAGTAATTGTAATTTCTTGAACATAATCATGAAGTTGGAGATACCCCTCTTCTCCAGAAGCCTACATCAAAATCAAAACATGAGGAAGTAAAAAATGCAAGGAGCAAGAGCCAGATACATTTGGGCTTCAGACCTGGCTCTACAAATGTGAAAAAATATTCAATGATTTTAGGCAAGTTACTTAATTTCCCTGAACCTCCAGACGGAGAGACAAGCAAGATCTTTGAAGGCCTAGATTTAAACCCTGGTACACAATGGGCCTGCAATGAATTTAGTTCTTTCATCTTGCCTTCCTGAAGCTTTAGCAGTAGTGTGGGCTAATAGAAAAGCAATTGGGTCCCAGTTCTACCCTAACTAGCTAGAACTCTGCATCTGTAAAATGGAGATAATACCTCCCACTTAAGACTGTTGTAAGATGTATACCTCAAGAGCCTTAAAAGTATCTCAAGACCCTCTCAACCTCTGAGGAGCCTTGAAGATTGCCCATGTAGGCAAAGAAGTGATTGAAATTGTGACAGTTGCAGCAAAATAATAGATAAAAAGCAAAACAAAACCCACAAGGGCTGGCTGTGGTGGTGCACACCTATATTCCTGAACTCTGGGAGGCTGAAGCAGGAGGATTGCAAATTAGACCCTGGCGTGTGCAATTTAGCAAGACTTTCAAAAAGAAGAGAAGGGGGGCTAATGATGTAGCTCAGTGTGAAGGCCCCAGGTTCAATCTCTAGGTTCAATCCCAATACTTACAAGGAAGTGTGAATCCCACTGGCTGTGTTCAAATTTTACTTCAGTAGCTATCTGATTTACTTATCTGTATCACATTTCTGCATCATAAAAATGAGGATAATAATAATAATAACCAGCTTTATAGGACTGCTGTGAAATACTTGGCTCATGGCAGTTGCTCTGATAATATAATATTGACAGCATCATCGTGATGTTATGTGACTCAAGAAAGGAAGGCGAGGCTGAGTGAAGAATGAAATGCTGTTTACTTTCTGTTTTGAGGCAGATACCATCAATTGTCCAGTTGGCACAGGGAGGCCACGCCTCGGTTTATCCAGTGCTTCTGGGGCCTGTCTGTCGGAAGCTCGATGGAGAGAACATAGTTGGTAGAGTGGCCTGTGGTGGAGAGGACACCCCTGCGGGCACTTGTTTTGTAGACTGGACACATGTAGATGTTCTGATGCAGAAACAGTGCACTCTCCCCAGGTTTCAGCCAAATGATGGGCAGTGAGTCATAGAGAATTTTGGGGAGAGATTCGCCAATCTGCTTCATTTTCCTGTCCCAACGGGCACCTTCTAGGAAGAGTCCTTTTATATAGGCCCCATCTTCTGGGTTTCTCTCCATGGCTGTTTCTTGTGTGGTTACCTGCAAGAGTAGAAAACTGTGAGTTCCATAACCTGCCGTCTTCCTATCCAAGGCAGCAGTTAGAACCACCTGGACTCAACATCTGCTTCTGCTGGGGTGCATCTCAGAGGACAGGGCAACTTCTGTGGCAGTACTTCTGCCTGCTGCACGTGAGCCGGGTCTGATTCCTAGCTGGCTTCTGCCCTTATACGTGGGGGACACAGACTACACTAAAGTAGGAGTTAGGAGGCCATATTAACTATAGCTGAGTGACTCTGTACATCCCTTGCAATTTTGGACCTGAATCTAAGAGGTGAGAAATTAAATTCTAATTCAGAGGCAGGCTGGCAAAACAGTTTTGGAGGTAGCAAGAATAAATATTTGATTTGACAGTTTTTGTCAATTTTGTAGTGTAAAACTTCTACCATCGTTGATTTCAGGCTATCAACTAAGAACTAGCTCACAAAACTCATGGAAAAGTAAAAACTGGCTCCAGTGAGTTCTTGTGAGTGTGCTGTAGCATACCACTTGTTAGATGGAGAAGTGGTAAACTCACATTCCTTTCAGGTAAGTGCAGAAAGTGGTCTAGGATAGTAGTGAATGTGTGTGTGTTGGGGGGTACAGATGGCACAAGCTCCATTTAATACCAATCTAGTTCTGTTTTTGTGCTGTTGTTGTTGCTGTTGTTACTGAATGGAATGTTTTCCCCACTACTAAGGTCTACCTAAGGGCAGTAACAGTCTTCCCAGTGAGGACTCCACCATGTTGTATAGTCAGCATTGGAGGGTGCTTTCCTTTTTCTAGTTATGATGGTGGCAGAATTCTCCTTTGAATTGATTCCTTTTTATATATACAGAGACAAATGCTTAGAGTGCTCTGATATGTAGAGAATAGTTTTCGGAGCTACTCATGTTAAATACTTAATATGTAGCATCTTAGAAGCGTTTGGACCTTAACATACTCAAATCTTTGGACTTAAAAGGACGTAGGCAATACTGCTTTCTCTGATTGGTCCTTTGAGCTGTTTTAACCCAAAGCATCCTACCTCAAACTCAAATCCGATGTGGTCAATGGGGATGGTATATTTCCGGGCATAATTCTGAGAGACACCAGTCAAAAAAGACTGTGTGAAGTAAAATCCAGAGATCCAAAAGACCACAGGGGGCCCCTTGTCAATCCATTCCTGCAGAGCCATAAAAATCAAAATTCAAAATGAACAACACATCAAAGATAGTTCAAAGGC